ATGTTAAATATTTCATAGTTTATATTTTCGATATTTTCCAATACAATAAGAAAGTTGAAATTTTTGCAACTTTCTGAAATAAAATTAGCCTTTCAACTTTGGTAGAGTCCATAATTTTTGTTTTACAGAAAATTTATCGTATTAATCGCATCTTCAAATCACAAAAATTCGAAAAAATACGAGAGTAAAATTACAAGTCTGTCAATGGCAGTCGGTCCTACTTCGGCCAACAATTTAGTTCTCTTCGTTCCTAGGTTTTTCTGTATAATTCAGACTCACTTCGGACTCTGTTACAGTACCCCAATTTCTTTGCTACGAGCCACCATACCACAAACAGAGTAGTTAACCGGAAGATGTGTAAAACTTTGGTGATGAAGCACGAATCGAGCTAAAGCTATTTCCAAATGCCGTCCAGCTGATGCCAGAACTAACTACCAACCAGCCATCGGATGCGCTTTCAATTCGGTCGAATACATCGACGGAAGCGGTTGGTAACCGCTCATGTCGGGATCGAAGTCGGCCGGAAGTAGCGACGTCGGTATGGCTCCCACCACACCCCCACCGGTGCCGGTCATTGGTGAGTTTCGTTCTCCGAAACCATCTGCAACAGGTGCATTCAAATGAGCCATTCTTGCATTTGTTCCATAAATAGCTAAGTTTTTCATGTAGGACCTACCATGTACTAGCGGATGTGGAGCATCGGAAGCTACTGGAAAAGCTGGCAGTGGCGGTAGCGGTCCTCGTTCCCCATAAGGATCACAGAAAAATCCAATCGGATGCTGGGCGAAAAATCCCGGTGGAGGACCTTCTGCAAAAGATAAGATGCTCCAGAGTCAAGTGTTTATCCCCTCTCCGTCTACTCTTAACGGCTCAATCGTGCGTATGGTAATCATCGGTTTATGATGGTGTCACCTGCGTTGTGCGTATTATGACGCAATGGTCGTAATCACGGCAATCAACGCTAGGCTGGCACTTGCCCGAGCTCATCTCCGAGCGTACACACAGACGTCAGCAGAGGTCAGTGAGGTGAGCTGAGGTCTCACCTGCAGCGAACATTTCTTGACAGAGTTCGTCTCGACCTCCTCGACTTCTTCGAGTTGGACGAAAACCACCGAACCGCAGTTGCTTCATCCGTCGCTCTTTACTTCGACGATTTTGGAACCAAACCTGGAAGATGAAATAATTCATTTAAAACCAGATTTTGAAATCCAGACTTCATTTGAAATCAGATTTTCGTCATTGACAACTCCCAATTTTCGTATCATTCACTAAGCAATCCATTTTTTAGCAAGTCACGGTTCGCTCAGAATCTCAAGGAGTTTCATTCGGCTCCTTTTTTTCGACGACTTCTTCACTCAATAATTGATTAGTTTGTTACATGTCGATGCCCTTCGGAAGTTCCGATAACCCTCCAAGGTTCTTCGGAAGTCCTGATAACCCTTCAAGGTCCTTCGAAAGTTCCGGTAACCCTCAAGGGTACCGAATATTCTTTCAACGAGTACCCGAGTTTGAGTTCCACCTT